ACCTCGCATTCGTGCACACAGAAAGCCGAAATTGTGGAGCTGTCCACGGACCGGATGACGCACACCCGATCCCCGTTGGAAGCCAAGCGCACGTACAGTTGATCCGTCTCGGGCACCACCTTCTGCACAAATATCATGTCGTCGTAGTCGCCGTAGGGTCCAAAATCATTTCCAGCCGCATAACTGTAGCTGGTGTCGGTGGCCTCCAGCGAGACGATCTTGAAAGAGGCTTCTGGCGTGGAGCCGGGTTGAGTGGAGAGCATTCCCCGGAAGCGGGTAAGACTCCAGGTTCGCACGTGGTGGTACTCACTGCACACAGAGACAAGGTACTTCTCCGACAGCATCACCTTGGTTACGGGGCTCTGGTGCACGAAGAAAGTCTCGAAAAGATGTGGGCCATGGCCAGCTGTCTCCGGATGTTGGACGATGATCCGCACCGCCCCCGACTTGGTGCCATAGGCGATCTCGATCCAATTGCCACTGATGCTCGAGGTTTTCGGGGTAAGGTACACCGAGATGGCCGTGATTGGGTCCAAGGTGACATCTTTGTAGAGCTCGGTGACCAGCAAATCGTTGTCTTTCATTCGGAGTGGGAACTTCTGCATGTCTATGTAGTAGATGGACCCGTTATTGCAGCCCAGCAGCAGGAACGAGCCGGCCGAGTCGAAGGAGAGCACGGGCACAAGGTCCTGGATCTGCCAGTGCTGGGTCATGGCGTGCCACACGCCGATCTTGCCGGATGAGGACAGGGCCACCAGTTGGCTGCCGATGAAAAACAGATACTCCACCCGCACGTTTAGATTGAAGGTGCCCACATCGGTTTTCTGGCCGCCCTCCTGAATGCTCCACAACCTGATTTGACTGCCATACGATATGGCTACCATCTTGCTGGGCACTGGCTCCGCCGCGGAGGTGTTACCTTCGAGTTGATGGCGATCCTTTCTATGGTGGCGTCGATGTGGGGCGATGTGAAGACCTGCTGCCAACCGTTGGAGTCCTTCACGCGGTAGCAGGTCACAAAGTGAGCGTATGCCACTGCTATCCAGTTCTGGTGCGCCTTGATGATTTGCACCCGCATCGGGTCAACCCAGTGTGAGTTCTGCGTGGGGCTGAACACCAGGCCCACTTCGTTGCGGAAGACCTTGTTCAGATCCGCCGAAGAGTTGCGCGAGTGCCGCATAAAGTCCATCGAGGGATTGCGGGAGTGCAGCATCGGAGCTGGCGGATTGGAGCCGGTGGCACTGCTGCCCGTACGACCCAGACGCAGATCCCACGAAGAATTGCGCGAGTGTGAGGAACGCGAGGGCTCCGGAACCCGCACCATGGACCCGGGTCGGGCACTCACCGCGCTGGCCGAAGTGGAGGGCACTGGCTCGTCCACAACGGCGGCTGCGGCTGGCACGGCTTCATTGGAGGGCATAGGCGGCGCCGCCAGGAAGCCGTAGAAGAGCACATCGCCGCAGGACGAGTGGCTGAGGTCCTCGCAGAGAGCCAGGCGCTTGGTGAGTGGTGTGATCCCATAATACTCCGCCTCGTGCCGCAGGGCGCGGATCTCACAGTTCTTGATGTCGATGTCCTTGGTCCTCAAATAGTTGAGGATGATGGAAAAGAGCGTCGGATCGCGGTCAATGAAGATGGCATTGTGCTCGTCCCTCAGGCTCGAGATGCGTCCGCTGAGCAGGGCCGTGAAAAAGGTGTCCGGGATCCACGTAAGCGTTTGCCGCGACGTGGAAAAGCTACGGAAGGTAAGATGGAGATTGCATGCGTCATCAATGTGGTCAGTAAGGGCTCTGCCAGTTCTTTGTTCTTACCGCTGACCACCCACATTGAGGTTGACCAGGTCGCTGCTGGCGGGGTGCGTGAAGTAGGACATGGCAGTCCGATGATCCGATGACCCCCGGGCTGCCGCAGCAGCAGCGGACGGATTGGTGTGCCCTAAATGCGCTTCTATTTGTGTGGCTTCCGTGCTCCCAGCGCTCCAGCCAGCGACTGATACGGCGGACGCCGTGGCTGCCGCACCAGCGAAGCAGATAACTCGCGATTTCGGTCCCCAGCCCACTTGTCGAGCTGCGGGGTGCAATTTATTCGTTTAACTCTGGGTGCTGCCTATTTATTTATTTATTATTTGTTGCACTGCACCGTAGACACTAGGGATGGGCACATCGATCGTGACTGCTCCTGATCACGAGCAGTCACCGTTTAGGGGGGTCCCAGTTGCATTTAATGCGTCTTGTGACAGTTAATACTTTTTTATGTCTAATTTGGTAAAATAATTGTATTTAAAATTCATCTTGGAGGAAAAGCGCAATGGAAACTAAAGCCCTTCGACCCGAAGATATTCAAAAATGGGTTAATTATATACCAGGCTTTATTTTTATTTATTTAGAAACTTCCATTTTAATGCATTTTAGCATTCCTATTTTATAATTTATCCATAAAAATGCTGTTAACATGATAGATATATTGTTGATAGTTCAACCTTTTTATTCGGAATGGCTATATGATTCATTTTTTTAAAGCCACCGTTATAAATCACGTTATTTGTTATCTTACCAAAGTCCATCCCTAACGTTTAGCAAACTTCCGCTAACGGTCACATCACATTTTTTGTAACGGAACGGGAACGTTTGGCGGGAAATTTAAAATTAGGCCAAACTAAAACCTTGAACAAAAAACTCACCGTAGAGCTCATGGATCTCAGTGTCTACTCTAAGCCTTAGGAACTGAGCCTTAAATTAGTTTTGGCAGACACAAAACAAAATTCAAATAGGCCAAAATGCCAGCGGCAAAGTGCGGTTGCATAAAAAAGGAGGCTCGCGTCCATGTCATCTACGTGGGCGGAACTATAGGAATGATCCGCAACGAGTCCGGCGGTGGGTGAATCAATAGCTTTAATCTCTATTCAACTCAATACCCTTGCTTTCCATTAGTACTGCACACCGTGCCGAAGTGTTGGCTGAGCGGCTCCAGGAGTTTCCCAGTTGCCACGACAAGATTTATGCCAGCAAGAGTGATGATGGGGGCTTCATGGCTCTACCGGCAGTGGCCAATGCTCCGTATCGAGTCCTCTACGATATGGTCGAGTTCTGCCCTCTGCTGGACTCCAGCTGCATGGGCATCTGCGACTGGCAGCGCATTGCTAACGAAGTGGGAGTGAGTTTTGGATTCGGGTTTCCTTGATTTGCTATACACAATATTACTTTTTCTCTTTTCTAGAAAACCTACAAGTCCTATGACGGCTTTGTGATCCTCCATGGCACCGATACATTGGCCTACTCCGCCTCAGCGCTATCCTTCATGTGGAGAACCTTAACAAACCTGTAGTGCTTACTGGGGCTCAGATACCGATCTTTGAGGCCCGAAGCGATGGTCGGGAAAACTTCCTGGGCGCCCTTCTGATAGCCGGCAACTATAACATTCCCGAGGTGCTCGTCTTCTTCGGCAACAAGATCCTGCGAGGCTGTCGCTCCACGAAGCTCAACTCGGACTCCTTCCATGCTCTTGACTCGCCAAATCTGGCTCCTTTGGGTCGGGCTGGTGTGAATATTGAGATAAACAGCCGCCAAATCTTCCGGCCGTGCAATGTTAAACCATTTAATCTCCATCCCGAGCTCAACAAGAACGTGGCTCTGCTGCGGATTTACCCGGGAATAAGTGTCGATGTGGTAAGGGCCTTCCTAAAGGACCCCATAAAAGGTGTTGTCCTGCAGACCTATGGGGCCGGCAACTTTCCGGTGAATCGTGAAGATTTGCTTGATGAGCTGAGGGAGGCGGTTCACAGGTGCGTCATTATCGTGAACATCACCCAGTGTTCGGCGGGCATGGTCTCCAACTCTTATGAGACGAGCCAAGCCCTGGTCGAAGTGGGCGTAATCCCCGGCTATGACATGACCCAGGAAGCTGCCTTTACCAAGCTGGCCTATGTGCTCTCCAAGCCCGAGTGGGATGTCGCCAACAAGAAGAAGGTGATGCTGCTGAGTCTGCGCGGTGAACTGACCACCAACAAGGTGGCCAAGATCAATGACATCGACCTGATCGAGGGCGTTGCCCGCACCCTGCACATGTCCACGGCGCTGGAACGGCAGCAGATGTGCTCCACATTCTATCCCGCTCTGGTGGCGGCCGCAGTCACCGAAGGTGATGTCCACAAGTTGGGCGATCTCAAGCAGTACGGAGCCAATCTGTGCGACACCAACTGCGATGGACGCTCCGCCATGCACTTGGCCTGCTTCCTGGGCAAGCTGAACTGCGTCTGTTTCCTGATTTCCTCGGGTTGTCCGGTTAATGTCCACGATCGATTCAACCGCACGCCATTGCACGAGGCCATCGACACGGACAATCATGATATCATCAAGGCGCTGCTCAAGAGCGGGCCAAGCTCAACGACCAGCCGCTGGTCCAGGCGGAGCTGCTGCGTGCCCTTACGGAGCGGGGTAAGATCAAGCGACTGGAGTCCTTCCGATGGCCGGGGCCAATCTCACGCTGGCCGATCGGACAGGACGAACGGCCCTGCACTACGCCTGCCACTGGGCAACCACGAGGTGGTGGAGTATCTGCTGCCGCACTACAAGAATCCGTACCTCAAGGATGAGCTGGGCATGTCGCCCATCGATTACGCCAAGGCAGCCAATCATGCCCACATCCTGACCCTGTTGCGATTCCGGGAGACCGAGTTGGCCAAGGAAGATCCCTGTTCCTGTTCAAATTAGAAAGTATTATTAATCCCAAGATCCGAAATTCCAAATTAAAGATCACTCAACCGCTTTTGTCAAATTTCAAATATTATTAGCTTATACCTTGTGTATATATAAGAATGTATATTTAGTGGTTTGTCCAAGTCAAGGGCGACGACGTTATTAGCTTGCATAGGTAACACATTAAAATCAATCTCTACATAGTATAGTCGCACGTCGAGGACGTGCTTAAATTTTTGTTAGTAAAACAATACACTCTGATCTCGTATATTTCGTATAGTTGAATATAGAATATAGTATGCAGTATTTATGTGTTATGGTTATTTGATCCTACGAAATTGAACCGTTGGGGAAAAAACACGGGCAAACAAAGTATAAATTAAATGTTAGGCAATAAAAACAAAATACTTAATTCACACGCAATTATCGGATAATGTCATCTATGCAGTAGTTATGGTTTTTGCGTTCACTTAGCCTAGGCTACAGACTTAAATTAAAAATGATTTGCATAATTCGAATACTCGGCCCGTAGACAAACTAAATACTAAACTGTTCATAAACTTACACGACTAAAATGACACATGGCTTTTGTTTCGTTTCTATTTCTCTTTTACGTTTGAGCTACAAATTTGTTCTACAACATTTAGACATGAAATATTGCTTGGTATTTTACGCTTGGTAAAGGCTTTTGATTTTGTATCTTGTCCGTGTGCTGTGTTTCAGTAGAATTCGCATAGATTCGTATGAATATATAGAGTAGTGTGCTGTATTTCGTTTAAATGTAGTTATGTTATGTGTGTACTATACTCGTATATTCATAGGTTAGTTTGCTGAAGCATTGGCTGCCGCTAATCTAATTTGTTGTTAATACTTAGAATTGCTTTCTTCGAATTGTTGTTAGTCAGGGGCCGATCCGCTCGCCTGGGCATACATATCTCCTCTCTCATTAATATCTATGGCTTACACGTAGTTTATGTTAATTGATGTAATTTTAAAATCTCTACTAATCTACATTACAAAATTGTTCTTCACTGGGTTCGAGAGGACTCATTTGCTCCTCTTTCGTTTACAACACTTCGACGTACAAACAAATGCATTGTGTATTAAAGGTGTTCCTCCTTTTCAGTTTCATTCATTCGTTGTGACATAAATGGGTAAGGTTTCAGTGTTCTTTGTATTGATTTATCCGTTTATGCTTAGTTAAAAAGTGAAAACTTTGCGTGTGAGTTCGTGTTAAACTAAATTGCACATTGAGTTAAATTTTGAACGCAAGAATAATTAGTTATTATTTACATACAATTAATTGTATTATAGTGTGTGTTCGTTTGTTGGTTTCCTTTTGAATATTTACAGCAACACTTGAGATGTGCGAGAGATTTGAGAGCTTGGCCTTAACGTCTTAAGATAGATATAGCTAAGGATGGGACTGTGGTCGAGCTGCCGAAGTTAATTAGTGTCCTAGTTGACCATCAGCGTATGTGATTCCATGGGCGCCGCCGAGTCGTAGAGCGTGTCCGTGTCCTGAGTGGGCTCGCCCTGCAGTTGACACTGGTTGGACAGGGTGCCAGCACCGCAGTCGCAAAAGAAGCTGTGGAATAAACCAGGTTTATTATTTCGGGTTTTATTAAAGCCAAGAAAATAGTTAAGACGTTGGAACGTAAATTAAGATTCATACAGTTTTAAACAACTTAAAGTGTACAAGCCACGCAAGTCATTTGATTTTAGAGGACTTTTATGTCTGGTTATGCTAAAGTCTTATAAAGATGCTACTTTCTGAATCTATTAATTGCTTCCCACTCACCGATCGTGTCGTATAAACTCAACGTCATGACCAGCATGACAATTCTTGATGCAATTCACGCAGATGGCGTTGCGGTCGGTTGTGTTGCAGGTCTGGCAGCGGTAGAAGTCGTGCATGGGAAAGGAGGTGTAGCTGCTAATCTTGTACAGGCACTGCCCGCTGGAGACGGCCTTCTCCACCTCGTCCTCGTTGTTAAAAATGTTGTTGCCCCGAGTAATTGGCTGAACTCCACTGGCTAGGCACAGCCCGCCGAACTTGTTCTTGAATATCTGATTATGCTCCAGCGTGGCCGTCGCATTGTTGGTTATCTCCACGCCCGCTGCCTGGCCATCGTAGATGCGATTTCGTCGTAGAATCGGGTGCGATTGCGTCGAGATTAGGACGCCGGCTGCGTATTGCGAAAGATGTCGTTTTCCTCGAGGATGCCCTTGCCTCCGTTAAAGATGCAGATGCCTCCATCACGGCCGTCATAGATCTTATTACGCTTCAGCGTCGGGTTGGAGTCAGTTTTAATCCAAACGCCGGCCATGGCGTTGTCGAAGATCTCGTTCTGCTCGAGCAATCCCAGACCACCATTGTAGACAAGTACTCCACCATTCTGTCCGCCCCAGATCTTGTTGCCTCTTATCACTGGATTGCTGCCTGTGCGGATCTGGACTCCCGAGTACAGGTGGTTGAATATGTCGTTGTCCTCCAATTTGCCATGACCGTTGTCGTAGAAGTAGACGCCCACCTGTTTGCCCGAATGGATCCGATTGCGTCGCAAAACTGGAGTGCTCCCAGTAGTGATCCACACGCCAGCCAGTGTGTTGGAGTACACCTCGTTCTCCTCGATCAGACCCTGACCCTTTTCGTGGACATATATGCCGCCGTGTTGGCCATGGTGGATCTTATTGTGCGCACTATGGGATCGCTGTTGGTGCGGATCTGAATCCCGCCAACGCATTACCATAAATGTTATTGTGCTCTATAAGACCGCGACCCTCGCCAAAGATGTACACGCCACCTTGGTGCCCGTTGTAGATCTCGTTCTTGCGGATGGTGGGATTGCTGTTGGAGGTTATCCAGACACCTTTGAAACAAAGAGTGTGGATTAGTGAAAGTCAATGATTTACACTTAAATCAGTCTTACCTGCAAAGTTATTTGAGTGGATGCGGTTCTCGATGAACTGACCCAGACCATTCTCATGCACATAGATGCCGCCCGTCTGACCATGATGGATCTCGCACTTGACCACGGTAGGATTGGCTCCGGCCTTGACCTCGAAGCCAGCTATGCGATTGTTGTGGATGTCATTTTTCTCAAAGTAGCCCTAGAAAATGGATTGAAATTTATGAAATACCTCACTTTAAATTATAAATCTACTTTTAATGACATGGGTTTAATGTTATAAATGTTAAGACAATGAAATTTGTTTGTTGTGCAACGAGCTGAGATAAACCCACTTGTTTACACTTACCATTCCATTTTCGAAGGTAAAGATGCCCACATCCCGACCGTGGTGTATGTGGTTCTCCCGCATGATGGGGCTGGCGAAGTTTTTGACCCAAATGCCTGCCAGGGCGTTCCGGCTGATCTCGTTGTGCTCGTAGGTTCCCTGGGCGTAGTCGGTGACGTAGAGACCTACATTCTCGCAGTCGCTGATATCGCAGTTGCGGATCACGGGATTGGCATTTACCCCGCCCACACAGACGGCAGCGCCCACCACCGAGGTGGAGCGAATGATGCAGTTGTCCACGGTCGGGGAACAGTTCTCGCCGATGTCCAGGCAATAGTGCTTGTGATGCGATACCGTCGAAGTTACTTCCGGCGAGAACTTGAGTGTGAGGTAGCCCACGTAGGCGTACTTGGCTCCCTCAACGAACATCACCGTGGATCCGGCCTCTCGTTCCAGGATCACCGATTCAGCCACGTTACCAGGCGCTGCTCCAACTAAAGCTACATCCGAGTCGATAAACAGATATTCGCCCTTGTAATGGCCCGCGTGAAGGAATATCAGTGGACCGGGGTGCTCGGTGGGGGCCACCTGCTCTTCATAGATATTGACCAGGGCATTAACGCTGGCCCCACCGGCTCCACCTGCGCCCGCTGACGCACTTGTGTTGGACAGTCCCGCGGAGACCACATTGCCAGCTCCGGCGCCAGGCGGCACAAAGACTCCCGATGCGGCACGCTCTTCTGGGTAATCCAGCGCCGCCTGAATGGTGTTGAAGAACACAATGCTGCGTCCTGAGCTGCGACGCTCTTGGTAACCGGGGCGCACATGCACTCCACGGTACAGCTGGTGAAAGCTCTCCTTCCACGGATTGGCGTACTCCGACTCCTCCGGCTTCTCGAACACGAACTTGCACAGTTCCGGATTGAAGAGCGGCAGGTCATACTCGAAGACTGACTGGTAGAGGCGCTTCCAGAGCTCCGTGTCGTTGGCAATGGTATTGAAGCGCTTGCATACAAGCGCCAGGCGGCAGAGGTCTTGTTCCATCAGATACGAGAAGATGGCCAGCAGCACTTCGTCGGGCAGTTCGTACTGGAGGTACTGGGCCGCAGTTGGCGCACCTGATCCTCCGGACGTTGCCGTCCCAGAGCCGGCTGTTTCCCCCGTGGCTCCCGCAGCGGGACCCATCTCGCCACCTTGCGTATACAGGCGACGCGATCGCTTCCTCGCCGGCAGCATGTAGTTATTATCCTCGATGGCAGCGCCCACCGGCAGTGCCCCACAATGCTGCTGTGGCACTGAGCTGTGGACGTTAGGTGGCTGCGCCAGAGTGGCTCCCGTTGTGGGTGCATTGTTCACCGGGAAGGTGGCACTGGTCGAGGGCGCCTGTACATTCGACGAGGAGCTCGAAGACGAGGCGGACGAGGACGACGAACTGGAGGAGGATGAGGACGACGAGCTGGAGGGCGAGGCGCCGGGATTGACCAGCGGCGGGGAGCCGCTCGAGGGTCCCACGAGTATGGCGGCGGCAGCAGCTGCCGCGGCGGAAGAGGAGCTGGTCGGCCACTGCTCGTGGCTGCTGGCAGAGATCTTGCGGCGCAAGTCGTAGGACTCTGATGACTACTTCCGGCCGAGGCGGAGGCTGCAGCTGCCGCGGCGGCGGACGTTGTTGCCGCACTAGATCCGGTTGTGGCGCAGGTGGACTTCGATGTGGCGGAGGATGAGGCTCCTAAAGCCGGCGGCGTTGACTGGCTGGTGCCGGCGCCTGAGCTCTCAGTAGTGTCCATCATTTGCAGGGCATTGTAGAAGCTGCCAGAGAAGCCCGAGAAGCTGCTCCACTGGAACCGCTGGCTCCTTGGCCGCTGTCGAAGTACTCTGCTGAATTGGATGCTCCTGCTGCAGTTGCTCCGGCGCCCGCTGCTGCTGCTGCTGCTCCTCCTCCTCCGGAAGTGGATGTGGCACTACTGCTCCCGCTGCTGCTGCTGTTGTTGTTGGTGTTGCTACCACCGCCGCTACTACTGTTCGAACCGGATGCACCTGCTCCCGCTCCGGCGGCGGCCACGTTCTGCTGGAGCATGGGATCCATGATGTTGCCCGTCGGCCGGTTGGGCATCGCTATCCGGTTGGCTCCTTTCCGGCGGGAGCGGCGCACGTAGGTGCGCGACGAGGTGAACGAGGCGCTCGGCATCTTCCCGTCACCTGCCCAGTGAGGATGAGTTTTCCGCGAGTTAATCGGAGCCAAAGACTTTTGCGCTTGAGTTTTCACAGTTTTCCAACCCCATATGCACACGCACTCATACAGCCATACGCATACACACACTGGCACATGCACATGCACAATTTGGCGACGACTTTTCTCTCGTTTTCCCCTTCACTTCACTTTCGCAGCAAGAGCTTCGGATTTGGATCGGTTCGAATGGGATCGGCTGGCTAAATCCCGGGATCCTTTGACTAACAATCAATTAAACTCCATTTGTTTTAGTTTATCTGTCTGCTGCCTGCTCTTCTTATTGCTTGTGTGTGCGTGCGTGTGTGTGTGCCTTTTTCGGGGTTTCTATCCTTTGTCTCTCCTTTGTTTTGTTTTATTTGGTTAGAGGAGCTCAGCTAGCGCACACACTGGCCTGATGCCGTCTCGCTCGCTCATTGTTACTCTGTCTCCCCTTCAATTCGTCTTCGCAGCAGACACTCTGCTTTCTTTTCGCTATTTGCCCGGCCAAAAAACACTTTTCGCAGTTATGATACGATAGCTACACTAATTAGCAGTTTCACTCGACACAATTGCACACTATTTTATCGAAAATTCAGCAGCGAAACCACAAAATTAATCCGATTTTTAATTTTAGCGTCCAGTGTGACCGCGGCTCGACTGCTCTGCATATACCACTCGTTTTTCGATAATATACCAAAACCATGTTCTTTATTTTGGTATTTTGCTTTCCGATAATTGTCCTATCGAAGAAATCGATTTTCGCGCGCGCATCTTTTAAAAATTTAATTTATAAAAATGACTTACTTTTAGTGTTACAAAAATCAAGAACATACATGTTTAAAAATTGTTTTTAAGAATAGTTTTTTCCATACAATAAGACAACCAAAACTGAAAGAACAACAAATCTGATGGAAATATAAAACACATGCATTTGACAGTGACCTACAAACTCGAAAAGTGCAGAAAACTGAACTTTTGAGAGCCCCGTCAAGTAGTCAACATGCAAGGTCGCGCCACGCCCCCTTTGGGCATAAGTTTCCTTGTTCACCTGTTTGTCATTGTCATTTTGCGCCATGTTTTGACTTCTCCATTGAACGAATGCCCAGCATTGAACTTTGCTCACGCGATCATATCGACTGTGGAAAATCGCACTTCAATGTTTTTGTACATAAATACATATCCGAATTATAAAAAAACTCTGTATTCGATTTCCTGGCTAGGCGTGCTACATTGTAATTGACCAATGGCAGCTGAAGAAACCAAACATGACGAATTTTAAGGGGAGAAGACAAATTAAGAAATTACGTATTACGTTATAAGAAGTACACTTTAAATAGTTGGTATCTGCATTTTATAATTTTAGGAAAATTAAATTTAATCACAAAACAAAATATATAAATAAGTTGTGACTAGCACAGTAATTTATAAGTTTTAGAACTTGTAGCGTTAGGAAGCCTGAACAATAAATAATAATAATAATAATAGTATAAGATAATAGAATGTTTAAGTATTGAAACCTTTTTAATTTTTTTTTTTCATGTTCATTTAAAAGTGTTCAAAAAGTAACCAAAATTGCCCTTTCATTAAAATGTTAATCCATTTACCATGGTATTTATTTATCTATATTTCCTATGAGTTACTTTTTGGTGTTGCAAAACCGACCTACCATACTAGAAACAACCAAGTTTCTTTTTTTATTACATGAGACTAAAAGCATATAAAATATAATTTTAATAGTTTCAATTTGTTATATATTTTTGTGTAACTAAAATTAATAACAAAATTGCTGCCTTTGGCAAAAGTTGATTCATGTTGTATGTACTTCGCAGGCCATTTGGGCTTCTTTGAGGAGTGCTCTCATCGCCTTAGTTTTCCTTAATTTTTTCCGGTTTTCGGCGCTTAAACCAGTAGTTCTACTGAGTATTGTTTTGGTGTGCGCTTTGTGTTGCCCATTTAGAGGGCATTACGCTGGGCTTTCTTCCTCTCCTCTGCTTTCCTTTTTCCCTACTTTCCTTTCCTTTCACCCGGCGTGAATGATAATGGCATACGCATCCCTTTGGCCCGACACCCCTAGAAAAGGGGGAGGGACTCGGTCTATGGGGCTACTATGGCCATATGTTCTCGGGGGCCTGCTGGCCCATCGGTACTCCCCGAACGCCCCTCGCCGCTGACCTCGATAATAATTTCGTCTAATTGCTTCGTAATTATGCCGCGCACATGCTTTTCTTGATTCGCCCGTTGTTGGTAATTCACTTGGCCCCCACGGTTACCTTCCTATCTTCGCTGGTGCGTGCCCTCCATGGTCCTCCTTGCTCCTCCCTGGACCTCCATGGTCCTCCTGCAAGGATGTGCGGTGGCCTCAAGTGGGCGGCGGACCTCGGTGGGTGGCCCTTGCGTCCGTGTCGGCCATTTTGGCATGTTATTATTTGTCTCTTTTGTTTTGCGCAATTTTTCGTCATTTGCTTCATTTTCTGTCATTAGAGGCATTTAACTTTTTGCTGTTTTGCCTCTTTCCGATTTGCCTCCATTATTCAGGCACCCGCGACCACTCGCATTTCCCATTTCGCATTCAGGCCGCCAGGAAAAGGGAGTGCATGTAAATGGATTTTCCACCGGTCAAGCTGAAGGAGGGAAAAATGGTCAAATTTAATTATGATTCTAGCGACCATACAAATTTTTAGTAATTCAAAATAGATGATCTTTGAAAAAATTAAAAATATAAGTTGTGCTTTATTTTATTCGGTGTTTTGCATTGTGGAAAAATACATTCAAAATAAAGAACCGATTTTGACCTTTTAAATCTTACACTTATTTTTACTAAATTTAAGAATTTGAAGTAATTTGCCATTTTTTCTTAAATTTGAAAAAAAGTTTATCTAGAAAGTACATCAGAAAATGTAAAAAAAGTCGTATTTAACTGAGTGATTATAAAACGCAAGTCAAATATTTTTATTGATTGTATGTGTAATTCGAAAAACACTGTAAAAACTATTATTTTTTTTTTTTTTTAATTTCAATATGATGGAGAACATGTAATAAACAACTACCGAAATACTAGTAATAATGACTTTAAGATGAGCCTCCCAAATACATTATTTTGGGAAGATCTTCTGTAGAAGTAAGTTAGGAATATATTCTTGACTGATTTATACTAAACATTAGGTAATTTATTTGTTTTTAATTTGGTTAAATGTTAAATGTTATGTATTTTTTTGGTCTTATAGCCTAACACTCCTTACATTTTATGCCTAAAGAAAGTGCTATATGATTCCTACAAAAACATAAGAATTTAATTTAATTATGAATTTTATTTCTCACAAAACTGTAGAACGATAAAATTGCTTACGTGCCCTTAAAATATTTTTGTACAAACCTGTAGGGAAGTTACTTCTTAGCCCACCTTTCAGGCCAAATACTTGTAAATTGTATGGGGCTGCAACCAAGGAGCGTATCAATGTATGTCAATGGGCTGTTGACTCCAATTGGATCCGCCTGTCCTTTCGAAAGGGGCAGAACTGCATTCAGGCTCTATTTTCCCCTTGACATGCGGCATATGTGAAGTCGTTTAGATGCTATCGCTCACATTTTTAATGACAACTAATGCGAATGTCCTTTGAGCTACCCCCGATTGCCCCCTTAATCACATTTCGCGGGGGGGCAGAGGCGTGTCTCGCTCTTTTGGCACAAGTATGTCTAATGCGCAGAACTTTTAATTGAGTTTAAAATTGTATGAAGACGGGACGCACAGAAGGTCCTGCGGCAATGGAAATCGGCAGCCGTAATTACACCCCAGTGCGTGTGTGTGTGCGAGCGAGTGTGCTTAAATTTGTTGGCAGTTTTTGAAGTGTGTCGGTTTCAATCTCGGTAAATTGCCCATGAAATATTAACTTTACCATAATGAGACGCAATTTTTATATCTCACAATTCGCCTAACAAAATTTGGTTGCCCCTCTTCCGAATTCACACACATGAAGAGACAACCAAAAGGTTGAACGGCTGAATTATAAATGGTCGGTTGTATGTCCTTAGCCTTTCGCTGATAATGTTAATGCACCTGTCCCCAAATAATCCAATCAAAAAAGAGCTTTTTTGGGTAAAAGTGGCATAATCCTTCTTATTCAGTGGTCAAGCCCCGCTCACAAAGGACATGACCCAATTATGTCCTTGAAATTGTGACACATTGAGGCCTCGCTGCACTCGCCCTCGCCTTACTTTCGATGTAATCCAGCGTCGAATGAAAAATGACTCAATTTGCAATATCCAACACCTTGCCCTTATACCATACCCCCATATACTATACCATCCTTGCAGACACTTAAGAGACGGCACCCTCATTACTTTCAACGTAGTAGCCGCAACCCTTAATAAAAAGTAATTCCTTGGCCCACGGATAGTTAGTGGAAAATGACTTGGCTTATAAGTAAAATTTCTTGCAATTTCCCATCGACAAATGGCTTTTGGCTGCATGGCATACGTGCAAAAGCAAAATAAAATACAAAAGCATACAGAAAAAAAAACATGCAAAGGAAAACAAGAGAGAACGAATGGATCGAATATTCCGACTGCCAGATATCCGCTATAAAGATTTATTCCATTGTGCACCATGTCGAAAGTTGTTTAATTGGAATTTTCACTGGCGTGAACTACGTAGATTGCGTATAAAACAATTACAAGAGGGAGAATCGATGTTTTATTGCCATGTTTACGATTCGCAGTATAAATGCAGTAAACTAAATGTCCTTGCAAAATAGAACTCCTTTTAAATCGATAAGTTTTTAAATATAGGTTCAATGGATTAATACTGATATTATAAAATTTTAAGATATTTAAAATATTTTTATAATGACTATGAATAGTTTATAACTATGAAACTCTCTGTATGAACGTAAGTGTATACTTAATAGGGTCGATACAATATTTTTGCATACAAGAAATACAAAAAAACATTCAAATGAGGTTCATTTTGGAACAAACCCATACGCTCTGACTACAGTGTAGCGAGTATAAACAAATAGAAGAGTAAAATTAGAACGACTTTATGTTAATGGTGGTCTTCTTTATGCTGCGCCAACCCCTCGAATTTCCAATTCAATCGCAGCGCGTTTGGTTGAGCATAAAAGACTGAACTCTGATTAGTCTGTTACAAAACATTACCTCGAGTGGAAGCGGACTGGCTAAGCTTTTAAGAATGGCAGATATTCTCAATGGAACCTTGCTCATTTCGGAAGATCCTGTCCAGCTGCCACTCATTGGCAGTCCCTGGCCCGCACTGACCATTATCTCCCTCTATCTGCTCTTCGTCCTGAAGGTGGGCAAAAAGATAATGGAGGACCGAAAGCCCTACGATCTTCGGGGAGTGATCAAGGTCTACAATATATTTCAGATCCTGTACAACAGCGCAGTTCTTATAGGCGTAAGTATAACACACAGTTAGAGGGTTGTCCATTAATATTATATGAAAAACCATATTGTATAATAATTACTATCATATACAATAACATAGTTATCTCTATGTTCCACAGATTGGGTTCACTTAAGCTTTCATGTTTTTACCACATACTAATATGGTAGTGAAGATTTGTGCTAAGAAATGAAGATGCCTTTAGTAAACCAGACTTATATAAAGTAATACTTAAGATCTACAGAGGATATTTTATAAATTGTGTTATTGTTTTTAGGATGGTTTCTTATACTACGATATTACCTTTTCAGGGACTTCACTTTTTGTTCGTTCTGAAGGCTTACGACCTGAGTTGCATCATCACTCTGCCGCTGGATCACGAGTACAAGGACAGGGAGAGATTAATTACCTACGCGTATTTCATAAACAAATTCATGGATCTCATTGAGACGTTCTTCTTCGTGCTGCGAAGAAGGATCGGCAGATATCGTTTCTGCACGTCTTCCACCATTTAGTGATGTCTTTCGGCGGATACGTCCACATTACCTTCAACGGATATGGTGGTACTTTATTCCCACTGTGCCTCTTGAATGTGGCGGTGCATGTGATCATGTACTCCTACTACTATTTGTCATCCGTCAACAAGGCTGTGCAGTCGAGTCGGTGGAAGAAGTGCATCACCATTGTCCAGCTGGTCCAGTTTGTCCTGGTTCTATCGAACTTTATCTACACTTTGAGGCAACCCAACTGCAAGGCCCCTCGACCGGTGATATATTTTGGCATGTCGGTTGCCGGGACTTTCATCCTGATGTTCACAAACTTTTACATTCACGCCTACGTACTGCCCGGCAAGAAGAAGCCCGAACTGAAAGTCCATTAAGTTGGGAAGTCATTTAAATAAGATAATGTTTCGCGATGCCGAGAAACTAATAAATATGTCTTCGAACAGAGCCTTAGTAGTTTTGATACCGCTTCACCCACAGCTAGTTAAACACTACTCTAAACTAAATTATGTGTGGGTTGTATATTCTCCAGACCTTTTATGTCTTGGAATAACTTTGCATTTCCGTGTGACCCAATTGCAATTTAAAATGCATTAACTATTTTCAGTGGGTATTTCGAAAGCTTTCTAATTTTAACTCGGTTGGAGATATTTTATATATGACAGACCATTGAGCTTGTATTTAATATATTTAACTGTACAAAACTTTAAAAACGATGGTTACAAAAAGGTCTTGGGCTAATCGAACTCTTGAACATCTTTTTGTTTTGACATATGAATAGCGAAATCCCATGCATAAAGAATTGAATAGACGTTTGGACAGATATATGTTTATAGAACGTAGTCCACGAGAGGAACTGGTGTTCCCTAGGTTCCAAAAACACGCTGTTTTTTTATAAAATATACCCTGTTTTTGGTTTGAAAATATTTGTGTTCCTTGGTTATAATAATTATGAAAGCAAAGCTCGCGTTTAGATATAAATTGAACTAGTTTGCATAGTTTGTTTTAAAATTAACATTAATCTAATGATACTAAAACATTTATCTGCTGCCTGTACCCTTTCATATAGCCCTTTACTAACCCAAAAAAGTTGCATGTTAGCAAAAAATACCACATCTTTTTTAAACCTTCTAGAGATTTAGAGGTACCCTCTGCTACAAGCTCCAAACTTCTTTTCTCGAATTTCTTGTTTATTGACAAACTCTATTTATATAGGAGTCACACAATTCCATGCAAAGGGTAAAAATAAAAATAGCGAAAAATCGAAGGCAGTGGGAAAAGGGCGAGTGCCTACTAGGGGAACTACACAATGCACGTTTAATGTCATTTAAAACGGCAATTACTCAGCACGCTCGGTGGCTCGACCAGCGGAACCAAAATGGGAGCACGGGTGACCCAGGCCATTTGGAGACCCCATTCCAGGGACCAGGGACTGGGGAACCCAACACAAACCAACTGGCGACCAGCCAGAACTGCACTTGACTCTGTGTGGCTTCGCTTTAATGTCACTGCATGGCCGCAATTATTTAGCTGGCACTTCGACTCTGATTCGCCGCATGCGATTCCTATGCAAATTCGGGCGGTCACGGGTGACCCTTCCGGTGCCATAAATCGCAGGAACTGGCCTGGCTCGGTTCTTGTATTCTAATTAAAAGCAGCATGGAATGTCCAGACACGTGCTCCGGCAAAGGTCCTGCGGAGCATGCAGATCACGTGCGAGCCAGAGCCACGGAAACGGATCCCCAGGACTCGACACACCGAACACTATGAGTACTTGAGATGTGGCCCTTGGGAGTTATTCGGGGCGGGGCCATCTCCTTGACCTCCCCGGCTGCATTTGAATTAAGTGTCGATGCATTTGAATTCATCTATTATTCAAACGGCGCATATGCAAATGCACACCGGTGACTACACTAAGGCAAATGGTTTGTAACGAATCTCTTTCCCAATTTGCTACCCCAATAAAGAAAAGGACTTCACATTTCAGGAATTAAGAATATAATTAGGCACGCAGATTCCTGAGATTCCTGCGCAGCGCAAGTTTGTTTCAGTAGAGTGCCACGCCCACTCTAACGCCCACAAGCCGCCCAAAACTGTGGCTCCTACAGTTTTGATGCTAGAATAAAAATTTTAACTGAAATGTAATGTTCTCATCAATACCTATCGATTGACCTAAAAAAAAGTTTGCCATGCCCACTTTAACGCCCACAAACCGCGAAAACCTGTGACGCCCACAATTTTTATGCTAGATAAAAAATTTTAACTGAAATGTATTCGTCTCGTCATTACCTATCGATTGACTCAAAAAAAAGTTTGCCACGCCCACTTTAACGCCCACAAACCGCAAAAACCTGTGACGCCCACAATTTTCATGCTAGATAAAAAATTGTAACTGAAATGTATTGGTCTCGTCGATACCTATCGATTGATCCAAAAAAAAATTTGCCACGCCCACTCTAACGCCCATAACGCTTAAATCTGTATACCGCCGGTAGGTGGCGCATTTATTGTTTTGCTATTTTTTAGTAATATTGATATATATTTTTTTTTTTTTTATTTGTACTTTCTAGAAAGTGAATAATTTTAAAAAATTTAATGTTTGGTAATCAACTATTGTACGGAGCTCTTGTTTTATAATCGTTATATCTGCAATTTTAAAAAAGTTTTTTGTTTTAGTTTCCGACAGAACCAGTTGGGAATTTTAAGGACCTACTCATAAAAAATCTTGTTAAAAATGCAAAAGATAAACTTTTGTTTGTAATCATGTTTATAATTACTTTCTCAAAGCTTCCAATAACTTCTGACCTGAAATAAACTCAACAAGCCACTTTTAATCACAGTGTAACAGGTGCAATCAGTTGGCCTTGCCCTTGGACTTGACCTCCTTGGGTCGAATGTAGGTCTTCACATAGAAATTGGAGAACATCACAAACATGAACAGACTGGCCGAACTTATGACATAGATAACACCCCGAGATGCCGAGCAGTTGGGCTGGAACAGGGTGTATGTGCAGTGCAGGAACATCATGAGGAACTGCACCAACTGTCCCAAAGTGAGGTACTTCTTCCACCAGAGGCTTCCTGGACATTCTTGCTCTGCGAAGAGGCGTAATAGTAGCCATACATCACCATGTGCACCAGGATGTTGAACATGCAGATAAGGAAGACATGACCACCGTAACCGTAGAATCGAATCAACAGGTGCGACGTGATGACCATAAAGACATGGTGGAATACGTGGAGGAAGGTAATCTGCCGAGGTTTCTTGCGCAGCACAAAGAAGATGGTGTCCAGCAGGTCGAGCAGCTTGTTCAAATGGTACAGGTAGGCTAGCGTCCTCTCCGTGGACTTGAGCTCGTGATCCTGCGGCAGGACTGTCATGCAGCTCAGGTTGTACGGCCTGGACAGGAAGATGAGGTGTATGCCCTGGATTTATGAAAATAAATCTATTACGCATTTGAAAGATTTTTTTTCCAAGCTGGTTAATATGGTAGCACCTCCTCTTTCGATACCATTTGCTTCAAGGGCTTGCCTATTTACTTACACCCAGAAACATCACCGTGTTGAATAGGACCTGTCCTATGTTGTAGACCTTAAGGACTCCACGTAGCTGAAGAGCCTCATGCTTTGCCATCAGATCCCTGCCCAGCTTCAGTACAAACAGTAAGTATACTGTTATAATAATAACCGAAGTCCGGATATTTCCGACCAGCGGCAGCTGGACAGGATCCGCAAGAGGTTTATCGAACACTTCAAACATTTTCGCGCACGACTTATCGGGTGACTTGCTATTCCGGTTCTGGTCTTTCGATCCTACACTCACGGACCCACTATGCTGTTAACTATTTGCTAATGCGGGTTCATGGCATGGTAATTTACTATTGACCTTAACATTGAATATTCAAGGTGTAGTAAAGAGAACCAAACTTAGGAAGAACTTATTTTTATCGAGCAAGGACAAATTAAAGTAATATAATTTTTTTTGCCTTTGAGAAAATCGGACTGTCAAACTATACAAATAAGAGCAGGTTAACTTTCTATCTCATTTTCATTTTGTTGACCTATAAAATTAAGTTCCATCGATACCTCTATGATAAAAGAAGAATTCGGAAACGAATACATAAATAGTGCAGTCTAGAGCATCTTAAAACGCAAGGCCTACTTAGAAGTTAGAGTTTGCACGTGGCAGCTTATGGCTGTGTGTGTACCAATCGTTGTCGTATACTGTGCGTGTGGCGGCATAGAATGGGCATACCCGCATGGATCCGCGCATGGAATGGATACTATGTAGTGCATGCATTATTTTGAAATCAAAAATTATCTAGGATTTGATCAACTTGATTTTATTTACTGTGCCCTTCGCTTTACCTTCTTCTGCGGAAGAATGTAGGCGCGAACATAGAAGTTGCCAAATAGAATTAGAAACACAACCGATATAAGCGATCCCCAAGTAGCTGACAATTGGGATGCGGGGCAGTCGGGTTGCCTGAGGACATAAAGGCTGTGCGCCAGAATGATTCCGAACTGTACCATCTGGACAATGGTGATGTACTTCTTCCACCACAGATCTTGTGAATTCTGGGTTAGAGACGACTGGTAGTAGTAGGTGTACATCATGATGTGTACGACTACGTTAAAGGTGACCAAGAACAAACCGTGGCCACCATAGCCAAAATAGTAGATGTACAAAAAGCATATATACACCATGTAAACGTGATGGAAGACGTGCAGGAATGATATCTGTCGATTCTTCTTTCGCAGGATAAAGAAGCCAGTCTCCAGAAGATCCAACAGTTTGTTGAAGAAATACGAGTAGGTGACCCATCTCTCCCAGGTTTTGTACTCATGATCCAACGGCAGGTTGGTGATGCATTTAAAGTTGAAGTTTCCAGGTCCGAGCATAAAGTGGACAGACTATGATTTGGGATATAAATTAATATATGTTCGTACCAAGAGAACTTCAAGATCACTTACAAAGACAAGGGAGACCGTATTGTATATGATTTGCATGATGTTGTAGGCCTTTATTATCCCAAGTAGATCGTAGGGCTTTCGGTTCTGCATAAACATCGGACCTACGATTTTTATTAGCACCATATAGGTGGTCAGTATTATCAGAACGGGCCAGTGACTGCTGGTGAATGGAAGTCGCACAGGATCTGGCGGGGATCGGTTCAGAAAGTCCGCTATGTGGGAAAACATTTCGAAAATTTGTGTGGTATCGACGTCGGTTTAACAGCAACTGATCGATAAATAAAGGGTGGACTCCGATCGACGACGGAAATGTTAATTTAAGCGTGCTTGTGCTCAATTATTAACCAAATACCTACGTAAGCCCTTCCTATTACGTCCACATTTTATAAGAGTGTAACGGTCACTATAAAAAAGAAAAAAGGAGGAACACAATAGTGAAGTACCTCGACTACCAGATACTGTTCCTCTGTTAACCAATTTTAAGATAAATATGTTACCAGATGAAGCCAAGTACATCTAGTAGCATGTAAAGAGGTTCGTCGATAGGTATATAAAAATAAATAAGTTTGAGATTGTGCGTCCTGGTTAAAAATAGATATACTATAGCAATGGGTATGAAAAGAAAAGACTTTTAACAATGGACTTTGCATATAATTTATTGGTAATAGTGACGCAAGCAAATGGTTTTACGCTATCAATCGTAAGAATCATGAAGGTATTATGTATATATAAAATACTCTTTACATTGCCGCCAAGGTAAAATAGATTCAAAATTATTTTTGACTCGAGAGCAATACCTTATGTTTGCCAAGTTCCTTACAAAAGAAAATGTTTTCTAATAAGTATACCCTTAGTTTCTACGCAGATCGAAAATATATTCTTAATTCTTTATTAAAGTCTTATATCATGATTATAATCTCTACAGAGATCTAAATTCGGTTCGGTTTTTTATTTAAATCGCCTTTTCTAAGGGCTTCTTGGGTTTGATATAGGCCTGATAATAGAAGTTACTAAATAAAATAATAAACACAACTGAGATGGTTCCAGCACAATAGGCTGAAAACCGGGCTGCGGGACAGTCAGGCTGTTTCAGGGTATATATGCTGTGCCCCACAATGATTCCGAACTGGATTAGCTGAACGATGGTGATGTACTTCTTCCACCAGAGATCGTCCCGTGAATTCGATCTGCGGGAGGACTGGTAGTAGTAGGAGTACATCATGATGTGCACGATCACGTTAAAGAAGCACATGAAGAAGCCATGGCCCCCGTATCCATAGTAGTACAGATACATGAAGCTGAAGTACAGCATGTACATGTGGTGGAAGACGTGCAAGAAGGATATTTGCCGATCCTTCTTTCGCAGGACAAAGAAGATAGTCTCCAGCAGATCCAGCAACTTATTGAAGAAGTACGAGTAGGTGAGCCAGCGTTCCCAAGTCTTGTAATCGTGATCTGGTGGCAGGTTGCTGATACATCTAAAGTTATAGTCTCCAGGCCCGAGCATAAAGTGGATGGCCTATAAGTTGGGATTCATGTTATATGTAGTTTATAGTATAGTTCATAGTCCAGGTTATCACTTACGAAAACAAACATGACCACGTTGTACAGGATCTGCATGATGTTGTAGACCTTTATCGGTCCCCTCAGATCGAAGGGCTTTCGACTCTTCATGATCTTGGGACCCACCACCTTTACAAAGAGCAGATAGGTGCCCAATATCATCAGGATGGTTTTGTGGCTGCTCAGGAGTGGCAGACGCACAGGATCGGCTGGGGATTGGCTTAAAAAATCCACTATGTCGTTTAACATTGCGATTATGTGTGCTTTCTGTGTGTCCGTAGATACACAACTGATCACAATCGTAGACAATTAATTGAGGTCTTCGATTTAAATGGTAATTTAGGCGTGCGTGTGCTTCGCCTACGTGTGTTAGTACACTGATAGAAAATGAAATAGTGCAAATAATTTTATTCACATTAAATTCTCAGTATAAACACAGTTTTAGTATTATTTACGTGAAGCATTTTATGGAAAAAATAAATTGTATTTAGACTGTACATGGAGTCTAACTTTATTTTACATTTAAATATTTCCATTGATAAAATCAAATTAAATTAATATATTTATATTTGCTACGTTTGTTTTTGACAGTGCAAGTCAATTTTGAGTAAACACGCGACAGAAGCGTGGTATAAGTAGTTATTCAAGGCTGGTTAACCCACATATAAATAAAATTCTATACAATACATTTACTTTGTAAAACATATTTTCCACTCGTTAAACCTATGTTTTTTTGTACATTAGGAAATCCATTACCATGAAAAATTACACCCTTTCCTTTGAATCAATACTAATAATACGAAACTTCCCAGGGTCCTTCGCAACTTTAAACATGATTATGGAAATTCCATTAAAAGTTTAATGGGCTCCCTGGAAATGTTCGAAAATCACGCACAGGCAAAGAGGATTGAATAACAAGGGGCGGCGGTTTCGAATCGCATTCAGTTACGCAGTGGGTGTGGCAAAATTGCAACTGCAGCGCTTCCAGTCGAAGCGGATGCGGAAATGGGACGTAAACAAATACCACCGCAGCACGCACATCCGGTGCAACAAAAGTGGCAACAGCCAAACAAATTTAGAACTAAATATCGCCGTGCTCTCTCAACAGTATTAGATTTCTGTAAAGTACTAAGCAAGTATTTATATTCAAGAGTAATTAAATTCTTTAATAATTTTATATTAAGAAAAAAGGTTTTTAAAGAGTCTTCCACATTCGTTGGCTTTTTATTTGTATTTTGTGTTTTGTTGTATGGAAATTAGCTTAACGGTGTCACTAGTTTAATCAAAGTCTGCTTGCTCGTTTTATGACATGAAAATGAGACCAAGAACAAATTACTCGTCGTCGGCTGTCTCACTGATGGCCACATATTTTCGGTTCTTAATTACCACAGTTTGCATGAGTGGCGGCGTGATTTTGGGTATTTTTTTAACTTGAACCACTTCCTTTAAGGGCTCTTCTTTCTTCTCCTGACTTTTTCATTCTTTTTGCTTGGGTACTTGCACTTTTATCAATTCCGGGGAAACCCGAGGTTTTCTCAGCGGTCTTTTGATTTTCATTCGAATTGACTTTAGCATTTCCACTTTTCTTCAAATTATCTGTTTCGATTGGACTCGCTTTTTGTGCTTCTCGCTTTTAAAGCATTTCTGTGGGACTCAATGGTTTTAATATATATGAAAGAAGAAACTGTGATGGCATTTCCTACCGGACACACGTAGATCTGCTTCAAGGTGAGGGGATCCTTGACCATCTTTCGGGTCCTGACTTGGCATATGGAACAGGAGGAAAACGGCGCCATTTTAAAAGAAAATTATTTGCTTGATAAGTCTGCTTTCTGCAACGTACACCAAATAATAAACCAAAATGATTTGAAGCTTAAATCCCAGTTTGCTTTGTTTTTAGACTTTTTCGATAAGCCAATTTGCAGTTGTCTGGTATTAAAACTTAAATGAAGCAAAGCCGAAATTTATCCCAGGAATGTTCTCGACTTCCATTAGCATTCGTTGCCAAATTGCTTAACTTTTTAAGTGCTTTGATTTGCATTGTGAGTGGACGGGGATGTGGATGGGGATGTGGGAGTGGATGTGGGCCCATTAAGCTCTTTGGCTTGGCAACTGCACCCAGGTCCAATCTTCAATCTTCAACTGCATCTGCATCTGAATTCGAATCCGAAACTAAAACTGAAACTGAAACCGAAACTGGAGCTGTGTAAACGACCTTTGATGTGGGCCTGGTTGGCTGGTTGGTTGGCCGTTGGTTTAGTCTCGACTCGTATTCGCATTAACGCCATTAGGCCAATTTGGCACTTTGCCCTGGCCCCGAAAAAGGCGCACGGAGAACTTTCACAAACAAAGGTAACAAACGGCGACGGGCTGCTGCAATAGCTCTTCCAAAGCCACCCCGAAAACCACCCAAATCCCGCCCAGAAACACCCAACCAACCCGTTCCGTTCCACTCCGCCACTCACATGCCAATGCCCGTGTAAATAAAAGTCAAGTGAGAAAAACAAATAAATTAGAAGCGCATCCTCTGCTCGTTGGCAGCGGGCATTTCTCTTCGTTATTGCGCGACTGCCTTTAATTACGACACCAGGCGGCTAAAAGGAGAAAAAACTGGGTTCCAAGTACCAGTCCTCCTGGGGTTTCCCCCATCTACCACTCCACACTACCCGTTGCAGAGCAGCACACTCAATTTATGTTTATTTGAAAGCTGTTGCACTTGACTAATGTCCTGGTCTCATCCTCTCAGTTAGCTGGAACTGCGACATCTTAGGCTCTTGGACTTCGGCCATCTGGTATTGGGACTACCAAATCTACATCATTTTGCACAGGCGGTGGGTACTACTTCCGTAGATGAGAAAATGATAAAATAGATCAAACTGGAAAATGGTATTCAGGCATCACTAAATTTTCAATAACCATTGTGACAGTTGGTTTGTGTTGGATTTATATATTCATTTTTAAAAAAAATGTAATTCAATTTTTGGGGAGATTGTTTTAAAGTATGCTAACACTCCAAATAGTTAAGAACTTCTTTTTCAAAATAAAAACCATTACTTCAGTGTTCTTTATTTTACATAAAATATCTATAAATTGTTTTCTTGAGTCATTAACAACTTTCAATAACAATTTTGAATGTACTTACTTACACATTTACAATTACTTAATTTACAATTCAAAGTATACTTTTACAGTAGATAAATAAAACCCATTGGATTACTTTCTAAAAACATATTTCTTTATAGGTCGTAGAAATTGTATATCTTACGTACCGCATCCTTGAATTATTCCCCTACCATTCAACTCAATCCACAATGAAATCGATCTATCGATCCATAATCCAAGCGGATCCTTTGTCGGCGGCGTACCAAAATAAATTTGATTGTAATTGACGGGGCATTTGATTTATTAGTTTTCTCATTAAACAAATTGTTGAACAATGCCGGGCAAAGAACAATACACCGTGACACACGCACACATGCCGGATTCGTACTTACGTTTATTTATGTAGATTGATGGTCATTCGTGTAAACACATCCATTGACGTAAATTTGAATAAACATTTTCATTAGCAAAATGTCCATGAGCCCCCCGGAGACATTCAGAGCTTGATGTCTGATGTCTGATGGCCGATGGCCAATGACCAGCAATCCTGGCCTGGTAATGATGACCTGGCCATCACATTTTCTCAATTGGTTTCGACTAGGGCGTTGGAAATGTTTGTGCCTGAATTTGGGTAATTTATTACACCGGCTAAAAGTGCCAATTACCAAGCATCAGATTCAATCCCTTCGAAAATTCCCTGGCCAGCAATTGGCCTTCGGTCGAATTGGTAATTGCCTATTATCACTAGCTCATAAACGCCTGTCAAGCCCGACATCCTTATTTGAAATTTAACACGTTTGATGGTCCATTAAATCAGGCTTATTTTGAGACTAAGCTCCAGGGAAAAGAAAAAATCAAAGAGGTTTATAAAAATACAAATTTTATTGTTATTTCAGAAAATAAACCTGATGAAGGCATTTGCTAACAATGTATTTTAAACATGTATGTTATTTATATTATATTATATGAGATTATATTATATTATATTATATTATATTTATTTTATTATATTATATTATATAAGATTATATTATATTACATTGTCTTTTATTATATTTTATCATTAATGAATCAATAGCATTTAAACATCCTTAAATTTCTTTTTCGGCGGACATCCATTGTTGTTTTGGTCAAGGTCAGCAAGAGACTGCCGGGGTATATCGCTCAACAGGTCAATTTGGTTTTGGAACATCACTACATCCATATCTTCGATTTCCGGGACATTCCAGTAATCCTCGTTGACGACATATTTTGGATTGGGTCGTGAAACGGAGCGGTGAGAACGGTGAGCTGGAACTGCTGGCGAACCTTTTGGAACAGCTCCACTTTCTGGCGCGCTGCATCCGCGTCTCCTCTATAACCCGCCGGAAAACAGGATCCATTTGACTTAGGTCCTCGGGCTCCCGGACCATGCCGACGATAAGTGCCCGGACTGATCCACGGTGATTCTCATCGGGTCCTGCTGTTTCCTTCCGGCCCAAATGGTCAGACAACGGGCACACAATCCGGTCATAAAGTGATACACCGGCTTGGGACACATCTCACACTTGGCCACCTCCAGGAGGGGATTACGCCGGAATAGGTCCATCGCTCTAGTTACTCGCAAGGATTGTGGGAAATGAAAAACCTCGTGCAAGTTCACCTGTCATCGGGTAGTATTGGAAAGGAGCACAAAGCTGCCTAACCTCAAAAATGTTCATTGGTGGATAACCTCTTTAAGTGTTTGAAACTTTTTTGATTAGGGCCAACTCCTTTGATTTGCGAACATTAATACACATTCTCCCATCCCTAAAACTATCGGCTTTATAATAATAAACATATTTTCCTATTACAGTACATTTAGGAAAGCTATAACATGAACTATCTTTCTTGATATGGTATAAATGTATTTTTGGTAACATTTTCCACATCCTTAAAGGTTATCGCTTTATAAAAATAAATGTCCCTTGATGTAATATATTTTATGTGTATACAACTGAACTATCTTTCTTAAAACTGGAAAATGTATTTTCTTTATTTAAAAAATTTTGATAATACTACTTCTAATTTAAGACTTTAAATATAAGATAAGAAAACACCTAAAGCTATAAGAATTTTCTTAGGCAAGAAGGTATATTAAAAGTCCCTTCTCATTTTCCACCCACCGTGTCATGTGGGTAAACCCGCAGCTCCTTTTCTGGTACTCCTTAACTCTTTTGGCGGTCGGCGCTGCTCTCTTTTTAGCCCAGAACGGAATTCGTTTAATTTCTTAAATTGAAATTATGGTAATTTCCTGCAGTCATGCGAACCTTTTCATACCCGTTCGTGTCTGGCCGGAACCGATGACGAGCGGACGCGGAGGAGGCTTCTGATGGCTGATGGCTGTTAGCTAACCGAAAGTCAAGTTCATAAATTTGAGGTCCTACGGCCGAGGAGGGAGGGGCACCTGTCCAGGTTTTGGTGGCCGCATTCACCGCTGCAGCAGCAGCACGCCTCATGGCTCAATCCCCTCACGCCTTTCACCTTTCACCTCACGCCTCCAAACCGAAGGTTAGCCCGGCTAATCGATAGCTCTCCATGACGATGGCCGGGGTGTTGATTTATGGCATTCCCGACGCACCGAAACTCGCTCCGGGATCCGACGAAAGTGACACATTAATGTGTTCAATTGAAGTGCCAACTACCTGCCCCACTGCCTCTCCACTCGGCAGAGGAACATCCAGAGCAGAGCAGTCGGAACAGGAAAGTCGGAAACAAAAAGGGGCCCTGGAGCTCTGGCAGCTTGTTAAGCTCGTTGTCCTCTCAATTGCTCCACCAAGTGGAGCCCTTCATTCGCCCACCGCCCCTTTCCAAAGCTGCACATTTTTGAGCTCATCAATCTCTGGGATATATGTGGAGATGGGAAAGGTACTATTACTGAATACCAACATTATTCAATTTTCATTTAACTGCCGGTTAATTTAATTATAAATAACTAAGCCCAAATTTAATTTAACAAGAAACACTATTTTGACTTCACAACACATTTGTTTTAGCAATGCAAGTTTCCTTTTTCCCATAATGTAAAATATTATCGTGTGAAAAACATGATTATACTTTAAAATAATTTAACGAATGGTTAAAACTACTTAGGTACACATCTTTATATGTGTACCACATTTCTTAACAATTTAAGTTTCCTTTTTCTTGTCATGTAAAATAGTATCGTGTGAAAAATATGATTATATTTTAAAATAAATTAACCAAAGGTTAAAACTACTTAGGTATACATCCTTATAAGTGTAGGGGAGAGTGGGGATAGGTGAACCACGGGGATAGATGAACCACTACACATATTTCACCTTCTGTCATGATTTTGTGCGCCATCTATATGTGTGTTGCTTACTTAGTCGATATCCTAACCTCACACGCACGCACAGTCGCGTCAAACGATTGCTGTCGTTTTTATCGCTAATCGAAGTTTGTATTGTGACCTAACGTTTTCTTAGAAAAATTTTATCTTGCTTCGCCAGTGGCATTGAACTTCATAAAATTGTATTTTATCGTACGTAGATGCAAATATTTCCACGGATAGCTCACGCAGTTTAAATATTTCATGTTTTGTTCAAATCACTTCTAATTGGCTAATGACTTGTGGGGATACATGAACCAAAGGCTAAACCACGAAAACAGACGACTCGGGGAAGAAAATGAGGAAGGAGTATCATTGCTACAGTGTCACCGCAGAAAAATTGATCGCGGAAAAACACAATCAGAAAACTCAAAAACCCTTCGAAAAAAGAAAGCATAAAAACAAAAATAAGAATAAATAGCAATATTGTAATGTTTGATTTCATGCTGTAAAGGTGCAATGTTTATATTCGAACAGAAAGAAGGCACGCACAAAGAAATAAATTACACTTTTTTTATACAATTGTAGTTTTTGTGTTATCCTGATAGGTGGTTCAACTATCCCCATAGGGTGGGATACCTGAACCATTTGAGACAAAAATTTGGAAAGCAAATAAACTTTACAAAACAAAGAATAGTATTTTTGCATAATACTTAATATTCCAAGGAATGTGGGCTCTTTTAGATTTCTATATACAGCAGACCCTTACGTCGAATTGTTCAGACATAACAATGTTAATAAAACAAGGAAGAACGCTATAGTCGAGTACCTCGACTATCAGACCCGTTACTCAGCTAAGTAGAGATATGCAAGTAGCAAAGCGAGATTAAAATGCGCCACCTACCGGCGGTATACAATTTAAGCGTTATGGGGCAAATTTTTTTACCGATATTTACAGTTTAAAATTTTTTATCTAGCATAAAAATTGTGGGCGTCACAGGTTTTCGCGGTTTGTGGGCGTTAGAGTGGGCGTGGCATATTCGCGTAACAAACGTGCGCTGCGTATAAGGCTACGGAATCTAAATCTGAAATCCCAATTCTCTATCTTTGATAGTTTCCGAGACATCCACGTTCATATTTCGATTTTTTGAAGTTTGTGGGCGGTTATGGGTGGGGCGTGGCAAACATTTTTTTGGGTCAATCGATAGGTATTGATAAGAAAATACATTTCAATTAAAATTTTTATTCTAGCATCAAAACTGTAGGAGCCACAGTTTTGGGCGGTTTGTGGGCGTTAGAGTGGGCGTGGCACTCTACTGAAACAAACTTGCGCTCCGTAAGAAGCTCAGGAATCTGCACGCCAAATCTCAATAGCCTAGCTCCCATAGTTTCCGAGATCTCAGCGTTCATCCGGACAGACAGACGGACGGACATGGCTAGATCGACTCGGCTAGTGATTCTGATCAAGAATATATATACTTTAGGGGTCGGAAACGCTTCCTTCTGCCTGTTACATACTTTCCGACGAATTAGTATACCCTTTTACTCTACGAGTAACGGGTATAAAAAGTGGTTCACCTATCCCCACTCTCCCCTACCTACTTATATGAACATTTTTAGGATGTCAAGGTTTCTTGTCCTAAAAAGTAAAATATTATTTTAACACATATATATGTAGCAATAAAAAATATTATGTTTTCGCAACAACTAAACCAAAATTAAAATACATAGGTACATTTCAATAAAAGTGTACCTACATGAAAATATTTAGGTACTCTTCATCACTGGCTACCAGTTACCTGTTGAGGGATGCGTAGCCCAAGGACCTGAGTTCTTGTTACGATTTGTGCTGCAAACTTTGCGCCAGGATTTTGTGGGCGAGCATCCGGTATGAGGGACTCGCTTCCTGCCCGACTAATCGATGAAGGATCAACTGGGGCTTACGGTTATGACATCGTTCCCCTTTCCCTCAAATGTTTTCGCACCAACCACACTTCTATCCACTTCCCGGGGAATGTGTATTTGTATTCCTGCACCGAGGGCACCGCAGAGTCGGGCTAACTCAGTTTTTGGGTTTTGCCAGCCAAACAACTTGGATCGAAGGCTGCGGCTCCTGCTCCTCCTTAACCTCCCTCTCCTCGACAGAAACCACGGCAATTTCTTTTCCCCAAACGCGAACACAACAAACGCACCAACTAGAGGAAAACCAGCAGGGTTCCGGGGGCTGTGGCATGTAGATTGTGTTTGCCAATGCTGCAGCTCAAGTGTAAACATCATCTGGTGGCAAGGATGTGTGGACGAGTTCCTCCACAAAGCAGGGGAATTCAGCACGAGGAAAAAATGGGTTGGGAAATGCTTAAACTTGGTTAGAGTTATTTACTACTATACTTGTTTTATTTTTTGTATTTTTTTATATACTCAATATGTAGATACTTTAATATGATAAAAATGATAGTTACAATACTAGAATTTGAAATCACGACATTTTAAATTTAATTTTCATTTTATTATATATTTCCCAAGTCCGATTTTTTAATGTCATGGTAACTTTTGTTAAAAAGTTTAATTGCTGCTCCGAATAAAATAGGTTTCTCCATACCATGTTTTGTTTAACTAGATAAACAAGATAGGAACTGACAGACATAATTGGCTACCCTTTAGTTTACCTCTTAACATCACATTGAGAAAACCAATTTTTTTTCTAAGCAACTTAACTTCTTGTTCACTTTCTCCACAGATAACAAAATCTAAAGATTGTGACGCGGTTTTCGCTCAGTGTGAAAACAATCGTGTAATAACAGACTCTGTAAAGAATTGCCAATTAAGTTTACATCACATTGAGAAAAAGATTTTTTTTTCTAAGCAATTTAACTTCTTGTTTACTTTCTCTCACAAATAACAAACTCTGTAAAGATTTGTCAATTAAGTTAACATCACATTGAGAAATCGAATTTTTTTTCTTAACAACTTAACATAATGCTAACTTTCTCCGAAAGATAACAAACTTAACCGTAAATGACAATGAGAAAAGGGTCGCAACGATTGTAAAAAAGTTCCCGCGGTTTTCGCTCAGTGTACATCGTCTTCCATCCCCAATTTCCCTGGAGCCGCAACGGTGCATGTGTGTGCCCCTATGCGTTGGCTTCTGGTGCCTCCATCAACGATGGATGCCTTTGATTTGATTTCACTTCATTTCATTTTGTTGTCGGTGGAGGCGAACTCGCGACTGCGTCGATACACAACCCACTAGCCACCACCCCACCCAGAACTCACCTCATCCCTGTATCATCGTAATATCGGTGGAGCCAGACCAGACCAGAACCTCCCCGAACTCATTCTGCATTTGAGTGTACAGAGCCAACGGCCTGGAATGACGGACGATGTCTTGGGATAATTTCTGCTGCCTGGTGGTTTTGGCTGAAAATGCTGTGGATTTGTGTAATTTACTTCGTGGATATCCGAGCTGGGAATAGCCAAGGTTACAGTAGTCATTTCCCACTGATTCACTGATTCACCCGCTAGCCAGTCAACCTTTATAAGGAAAACGCCAGGGAATGCTTTGGTTTGTTATGTTCTTTTTAATTTCTTTCAATAATATGTATGTCTCATTTATTATTCAATATGCGTTCTAGTTCTATTATTTTCCATTATTTCTCTCGTCATTATATGTGTGTGTATAAATTAATGTCCGTTGTTCAATGCGTGTGGGGTCCGCTTTAAATGCCAGACATGCTTTCAAGTCGATCGAATTTGTAAAACAATTTCCTTGCACTGACAAAGCCAATTTGCGGTGTATAAAAAATCATTGTGCAATTCTCAAATTCAAATATTTCCTTTTCCATTATAACAACAATGATAATAATAACAATAATAGTAAGAAATACGCGAATGTTTATTGCATTATTTACGGTAACAACAAAACCAATTAACGAGTGTAAAAATGGAATAATTTTCACGGCTTCTCCTCAGTTGGTTTTAATTTTCCTATTTGGTTTCCTTAACGTAGTACCTTTGCCCTCTTGCTGTGTCTTAAAAAATGTATTAAAATTAGCTTAACTATCAAAATTATATGCACTTTGTTGGTAGCTTCATTTGCATCTTTGAGTTCGTTTTCAAAAGTTACTATTTTATTACCAATTTTCTAGTCAGCTTATATACATTTGTTGTTATACTTGTGTTCTCCGTTGTTAATTGTTAATTGTTTTCCTGTGGCTTGCCTTGTCTTAACTATGAACAGTTTGATATTACAAATATAATGCAATTATCCTTGATGCCATCGGTAGCTATCTTTTCTTCATTACTCTTAAGTTTAGTGAGTGGCATTTACATGTATCTACATGAATATCAAAAAACTATGCAGGTTCCTCTAAATCCAACAATGTTCTGCAGCTTATACAAATAAATGTTAACATTCAATATCTCCTAATCTCCTTTCTCCAAAGCCTCTGTATCTCAATGTGGAACAGAATAAGCGGTTTTAGTTACAAATTGGGCGCAGCATGTCCATATGTCCTGTGGGTAGTGCCATTGATGGAATGATGGAAAAACTCCTTTTGGAAATTAAATATTGTCAAGCACGAATGGATGTGGGTGAGAGTGTCTGATCAGCCTTGGAACCAAAGATCATAGATAATATAATATATATAAAACATGATAGGAAAGTGGGTGGGATTATCGATCGGGGAGCTATCGTGATCTAACTACACTACTCGGTTCGGGAATTATAGGAAACTTCTAGGCGAAATGTGCTCTGGCGTGCTGGTTGATTGGTTGATGGATGTTGATGATTGAATCATGACCGAGAAGTTAATTGCTTTTCGTAATTTTTTGTTGTCAACAACAATACTCAATAATATCATATTTTTCTATATATCATTCAAATGATCACAGTCAAAAAACGTTCATTATTGAATTATCCTTTAAACATTTTAACCTTTACAATTTACTAACACCACAAAAAGTTCGGATTTTTCGGGTTTTCCAAAAACAACTTTAACTGTAACGCAAATTCGAGAAATTACTTGATGGAACTATGAACTATGACCAAATTCTCTTTCAACTTGGGGCACTTTGTGAAGGGCATGCGAAGGTCGTCTAAGACGAACTTCGCCCCGATTTCTACAGCAAAACCAAAAGCGATTGATGGTCGTGGGTGTTTCAAAATGTGGGCGGACTCTATATAAAATGAGGCGTGGCGTGTCTACTTCTGTGTGGAGCGATTAACCGACGCGAAAATGTTTTCTGCCGCTGGCCGAATTTCCATTTGAATTTCCAATTGCATTTTCATAACGTCATTTTGCTTTTATTTTTTGTGTTTTCTTTTTTTTTGTTGTTGGTTGCATTTGTAGTTTGGGTTGCTGTTGCTTTCCATGTGATTAGCTGAACATTTTATTGTATTTAATTACTAATGCATTACAAACTTATTCATTACCTAATGCAAAATTGTACACTTAACGTTAATATTCTGTTTTTTTCCACTTGGTTTCTCTTTCAGCAGTACAAAAATTATTCATTGCATTTTCTGTTTAGGTGTTTCTGTTTTTGTTTTTCCCCATTTTGCCTCTGTTGTTTTACATCCGTAATGATTCAGTTTTAACTAAATTTACACATTGCCAAATTTGCATATTTTAATTCGTACACACGGCTAGAGATACACATACATACAGATGCCACTGCCACAGCTTAGAACTAGACTTCGATTTATCTCATTAACCGATTAACACTTCTGTTGGTTTCTCCTCCGCCGTCGGCTGGTTTAAAAATCATTACGCTAAAAAGTAACTAAATTTAATCAATCTTAGGAATTATTCAGTTGGATCAATTATTAATTTATGTGTGTGTTTTCCTTTCTGTCCCATAAATCTGATTCGTTTCCGTTCTGCTAGTTGCACTAAAACCTCTGATAGTGTCGGTTCTTTGGCCACCTCCCATATATGGTATATACCATATACCATATACCATCTCCCATCTCTCATCTTCCATCTACGTTCGAAGTTCGTTTGGGTTGACACTATGTTGGAAGAACAAATAGATTATCCTTAGCTAGTTCTGCAGAGTTTGGTATCAGGTTCTGCTAGAAGTCGCTGCTAGTCGAGGGATTCCCTAAATTGCTCTCCACAGTGTCGTCTTTGTGTCAGAGAGGCGGCTTGTAGACTTCAATAGCAGGCGTGAGCATGTCCACTCGCGTTGATATCGAAGTATCACTGTAATGAGAGAAAAAAAGTATGTTAAACATAATTTAAAGGAACTTTTGTTGAGTAGAGTCTGCGACTAAAAGAACTACATTTCAATACAAAAACTATTATAACATCTGCAACAAAGGAGTTACATTTTAATGAGACATCAAAACTTCCCCTTACAAAATGTACTTCTTCAATACACCTTTTGTGTTTCAACTTTATTGATCGAAAACCCGTTAAAAGACTTTAAGATCCCAGTGACTTATGCTATAGTCACGAATAAACTTCGTTGCACTTTAGTTTGCAAACATAAAAAGTTTAAAGACACATCGAAAGAGGGTAAAGGGTTTAGAAATAGGGACAGTGCTGAGGGAAACTGTGAAGTTGGAAAGAGGAAAAGCCGAAAACTTTATCGCAACGAGTGCAGGCAGACAGCTGCTGCTCCTTGCAACACGTTGAGCCACACAAACAAGGAAACTAATTCCTGTTTCACCATCAGTCAACAGTGTTTCACTAATTGCATTGCATTGTGCTGGTATTATTTACCCAGCTAGGTAATTTATAAATTTTTTAGAATGTGTGTTCATGGGTTTAATTTTAATCCTCTTAAGCTATCTTAAAAAACCAACCAGTTTCTGACATTTTAAATGCTGTTTGTGTCGTGAAGTTGGATTAGTATTTATAAAATTTAATTTTAAAACAAGAAATTATTGTTGAATATTTTTTAAATGTGGGTATTAACATTAATTTTAAATATATGAAAGTGTTTTTTCTGTATTAAAATAATAGTAATATTAAAATATCAACCTTTTACTTGTTATCTTCTTGGTTCTTGCTTAGAATATTATTGATTTGATTATAGGTTAGTAATTTCTCTACCTAAGGGTATCTAAAAACTATTTAGATACATGTAAGATATATGTAAATAAACCTATTTGATATTCATTACAGATACATTTATGGCAACCTGAAAAGTTTTCCCTTGAATGGAATTTATTTGTATGCATCTGGCATTCCCACTTTACAAGGATGCAATGCGTTTTCTTTCGCCAGGAGTGACTGTTCCTGAGTCCTGATTTCATTTATTCGGTTCAATTGTTACATTTATTTATTATACACACTGACATGTATACCTGGTACACATTTTCCTTTCATTGCTCGACCCCGACGACCTACGACCGCCAACTATGTACTCTCTGCGTCTGCTTCTTCATCTGAATTTTCCTTATTTTTCCGCTTTTCCCCGTTCTTTGCTGGCTTCTTTATCATGGGCACCCACTGGATTGGAGCCCTTTGTTTGCTTGTTGCGGATTCGGTTTCGCATTGTAAATGAAATGGAATTAAATGAAATGTGAAATTTATTGTATTTAGGGGATTTCCATGCGACAAGCGCTGCGGAAACGGATGTGGATGTGGATGGGGATGGGAATGGGAATGGAGATTGGGCTTTCGGCATTTCGGTCCTTCGGATGGGGCGAAACAAAGCACAGCAATGCGAAACAATCGCCTTTTCGCTTACTATTTCAAATGTAATTTATACGCGTACTTATGGCCCCCACTGTGCACTGGCTGTTCGCTTTATTGGCACTCTACTTTAGTTTTATTTGTGTTACTCGCAGCTCCTGTCTATCCACGATCGCCATTCGTCATCCAGCTGGCTGCACTTCCCATCTCATATTGAATTAAATAAAAATCTCATTTCCCGAACGGAAGTTGTTCGTTTTTTGTCAGCTATGTATTTACCTCCTTAATAAATCCCCAGACTTACATACTTAAATTTGTACACCCCCCCACTTTTTCCGGCTGGCCAGTTCATAGAAAGTTCGGAATAGTTGCTGCAAGTTCGGCTGGAGCAAAAATAAACAAAACAGGCCAAAACCTGAAAGATATTATGGAAACTTTCGAGTGTTGGCAACTCCTCGAAATGCGCTTAAGGGCCATAATTAAAACGAGAAGCTTAAAACATGGAGCTAGGGAAGAAGGTTGTGCTGAGATTAAGGAACATTTTTCCTAGCCCAAAAATTGTTGGCTTTAATATTTTTTTACACATGCGAAGGGGTTAATAAATTTTAGCAAGCTGTATTAAGAAAGATTTTTTTTATATTTTTTGGGAAGTTGAACCAATCTATTAATGTTTAATGTAGTAAAAATTTAATAATAAAAAAATAAAAATATTTCTTGCATTTATGTCAAGCACTAATAAATATTTTATTATTATTAAAGTTTTATATAATTTATGTTCCTTACTCATATAAAATACGTCATTTTAATGTTGACACCGAGTTAACCTCCGGTTAGTATGCTATTGCTTAACCTTAAATTCTTTTTTGCTAATAGAAATTATTTTAATACACTAATAAGTATTTATAATATTTACCTTTAAACCTGTTTTTTTTCTTTCTTATAAAAATATATATTAGAAATTTAAAGTTGACTTCTGGAGCAAAACTTTAAGATATTCTGCGTTTCCTAACTTTTTTAAAGTATGCCATTAAATGAAGTTTCCTCATTTCCTGAGAGTGGACAAGAGTGGAATTTTTTTTAGCTTTGGGGAGCGTTAAGAGCCAGGAGACGGACACCATCTGGTGCCGGCCATTCATCAGCATCAAAAAAGCGAGCGGATGCAGTTGCATTGGGGGAGCAGAAGTACCGAAGGGCTGGCCAGGAACACCCAGGACATGGGCAAAATGTTGCCAAGCTGTTGAAACTGTGTTCCAATTAAAAATGCAACAAATTCGAGCACAAATTGTTCGCATGCCGTTGCCAGTGCGACTGCAACTGCAATTGAAAATATAAAGGATGCCAATGCAATTAAAAAGCTTTTTCAATTGCATTTAACATGAAATTAGTTTCGAGAGCCATAAAAACCATGAAAAGCTGGGAAAGTGCCTGCGGTTATCTGTCGGTTGCTTTGTGTCACTTTGTAGCACTTTTTGTGCCCTGCATGTAAAACTTGAACTTTCCCATTGAATTTATGATTGCGATCGATCGCAGAGCATGCATATTGCAAAAGGGGCCTTTGATTAAATCCATGAGGTTTCCTCATTCGGCTTCCCCTAAACTTTGTCAAAGTTCGACTTGGCCAGGAACTCATTCGAACAATAACCAAAGTCGTTCGGAGATTTCTGCAGTAACTCCACAAAGCTGACAGGCACAACAACTTTATGCAATTAACTCCCACCCACCACTGGGCAGCCTTGGGGCAGAGGAAGCTTATTACAAACGACAACAAGCAATGTAAATGCCAACTGGCAGTGAGAAATGGCCAAAGGCGGCACTTGGCCAAGACGAAGTGGAAAACTGGCCAAAACCAGGTCAAACAGGTGTGTGCAGGTGGGATGGGAGTGGCGCAGGTCGGAGGTTGGAGCTTGGAGGACAGAGGACAGAGGCCCTTGGTCCGCAGGACTGCAAAACTTTCCAACGTATTTAATTTGAAAATGCGACACTGACACTGCGGCGTGCTGAATGCTTGGTGTAAATTAAATTACACGCGCCACGCCTTCCAGGCGACTCGGGGATAGGCCGGCCAGCCCGAAACACGGTACATTAAATTTTCATTTGGCCAAAAGTCCCACAAACTTTGCTAACAAGTCGCAGGCGCTGCAAGGACGCGTGATAGCAACAACAGACAAAGATGTACAGAGAAAAAAAATATATCAAGAAATAGCCTGAACTAAAACTAGTAAACCAAAAATAAAAGTTCTTGAATTTGTAACTCGATTCCAAAAGTGGCTAAGATCGATTCAATCTCTAATTCTTAACCAAGATAAAGGGTTCTCGCTTGGGTAACTTCTTAGGAAAAAAATGTAAGACTTCTATCATCTCTATTGCAGCTCGAAAAATCAAACTCAAGATCATTTTCGCCTTGATTTCAAGAACATTTCTTCTCAATAAGTTAAAGGAAATTGCTCAAATTGGGAAAATTGGATCTTGACTTTATTGTTCTTATTTTTTCTGGGTGCAGTTAAATACTTGGGAAATAATTAAATTATAATTTTTTTCTCTTGCAATCACTTAGAAAAATTTATTTATTTATATCTGGAAAAACTTAAATTAAGCTACAAAAAAAGAATGAGGAATTTTTGTTAGGAGCAAAAACACAAGAGGAAATAAAATCCCGAACCAACCAGGTTAATATTTACAGTTTAATTTTTTCTTCAGTGTACAGATACAAATTCAGAGATACAGCTACAACTGGCAGGCGGACAGTTTTCAGAGGTGCGAAAGTGAGGGCCAGCTTAGAGGTCAGATTGCTGCGGGCTCGGGACTCTGGGCCCCGGCAGCTGGGTCGGAGCCAGAATCTCGGCTCCTATCCAAATCCGCAGCCTGCAGGCGACAAGTAAACACAAATGTCGACACCTCCCAAACAACCGGAATACCCTGAATACACCCAAAACACCCACACAAAACCAACTGAAGTGTCATGCGGAGGTGGGGCGAGTGGGAGAAACTTAAAATCTCATTAGTTACATTTTTGAGAGGACACGAGCTTTGGCTGTCAGCTCAAAACAGCAACAACTTCAAGTTTTTGGCGCCCCAGTTGACTGGGAAATCAGTGCGGCCTGGCCAACCAATTCGGGATTCACTTTGCCACGCTGACCGCCTTCGTTCGTCTGTGAAACTTTCAACTGATAAAATCAAATTCTTTCAATGGCCGCAAAAGTTTGCCTACCCAGCACAAATTTTCAATTCAGGGAAGTTTGAAAAAGTGTGTTTAAAATTTAGATTGGCTCATTATGTTTGGCGGAGATTAAATATTTGGCAGGCAACATTACCTTTTAAAAATATTCTAAAAATATATATATCATTAAAAATGACTGTAATCTTAATGTAAATATTTATTTTAAATTTATATAGACTAATCTGAAAACCTAAAAATTAATATATTACATATTCCATTTGGAATCTTCTTAAAATATAAATGCTCCTCAAATTACAGCCTCAAAAGCCTTTTCTAAAATTTTAAATATTTATAAATTTAAGTTTACTTAATGAAAGTTATCTTAAGATTAAATATTCGACAA